GAAAAGCTTGAGACATGGAATATTCAACAAAGAAGATGTTATGACAGTAACTGAATTGTTTGTCAGTCAGAAATGCCTAGATTGTGTTATCTTCTCTTTCAACATATGATCTTGGCCATTTATCTGAAGGTAGATACTAAATTGATTAGTTTTAACTGAGAAAGAAAATAATTTATCTTCCATTGACTGAAATTCATATGGGTGATCAAAAATGGCCAAACACCAGTGCCCAATTAACATTAAGTAAAATGAACCAAGGGCAGGAGTAGCTAGAACTACCCCGTAGAGTAAAGAAATTTTGCTACTAGTAAATTAAAGAAATTTTTGTCTCTTTAGCAAATGATTTATTTGAAGGAGCTCTTAGTGCTAATTTCTGAATGAAGCCAAGAAACATCTTACTGAAATAAACGATTTTAATACTGAGTTCAGTTCAAGTACCAACACAGCTGCCAATAAACTTTTAAATGAATACATCAACATAATTTTTGTTTTACTACATACTCTAGGGGCTCAGAAGGTATAAATATATGTGCATATATTTTATTCTCTGTATTTCACCATAAAGGAATTTTAGAGTCCAGCTTGGGTTAAATCAACCAATCCAAAAAATAATATAGGCAGGAGTCTTTAGAATAAAACCCTCTTCCCTAATGATAATCCCCAGTGGAAAGTGGCTGATAATTTAGAAAGCTAGCAATGCTAGTCTAATAGAGTTTCTTCTATAAATTCTCCAACGTCTCCCCTCATCTCTGTTTCTCATAAGCTAAAACGAAGATATCTGGTCATGTTCCTAGTTAAATAATTTCTTCTCTGCTAAAAGACATTTGCCTGGGCATCAGTATACCCAACTACTTCTCCAATGCCTTAATATGCCCTAAGAATGCTACCTCGGGGTACTTGGTGTTAACAAAATCTATAGAGAGTTTGTTGTGCTTAAAAAATAAAAACATATTTTGTAAACAGTATAATAACATTTTTATGCAATTGGATAAAGACTGGAAAAGGTCATAGCAGTATGAAATTATTAAATTCAAATACTAAGATATATTATGAAGCATTTTTAAAATAACAAGTTACTTTAAAGCCACCAGGATTTGTTGAAATCCAATGGATGACAAATTCCTCTGCAGAAAACTGAGACCCACAAACTGTTTCACTTTTAGCATGGTGTGGGAGAAAGAAATCATTACCACAAAGTAAGAAAAAAAAGTGAAATTTTCACAAATTCTGAAATGCTGAGTATGGAATAACCTGTCAGGTTATATCCCTGGGAGCCTCAGACTTAAGGAGGGTCTGTAATCATTCACCAGCTTTTATCTGGGGGCTTCTATTGAGTGCTCACAAGATGGGACAGAGATGGCACCTGGCATAGGCCCCTTCACAGGAACACAAGCACTAAACCCCATCTTGTATGAAGCAAAACCTTGAAGACATGGGGAATGAGGTGGGAAACCCTCCTGCACCTGCTCTTGGATGAAGGTATGCTGCTGGGGAAAGAGGGCTAGCAGTGAAGTGATCTGCAGCTGATGGGGGATGAGACAGCTATTTGAGTCCAGGCCCTGCAACTGAGCCCAAGCCCCTAAAGCAGAGGCCTGCTATCACTGGGAGAGGGTAGGACATGTGCCCTGATGGAAGGGCTCCCTGCAAGACACTGTCACTGGTATAGGGCAGACTATGGCTATGTGGCAGGGGAAGGTGGGGGAAGTTGTAGTGAGGACAAAGGTCTGAAACACTAAGACAGTTCCATACTCACAGTGCAGGTGAATAAGGCCTTCTAAGAACTGAAGATACTTCAGCAGAACCAAGAAACTCTACCTGCCTTCATCATAAGCCTCCACCAATAACCAGCAATAGCAGTCTGCTGCTGGGGAAGAACAAGGTCATGGGAAAATATCCACTCGTGGTTCAGGTCTCCTGGGCCTCCTGAGAGCTTAGAGCAAACCTGGAGCCCTGAAAAAGGGCCCTACAGTAATGAAGCCATGGGCTTCCCAGATGGTACTAGTGGAAAAGAACCTGTCTGCACATGCAGGAGATGTAAGAGATGTGGGTTCCACCCCTGGGTATGGAAGATCCCCTGGAGGAGGGCATGGCAACCCCTTCCAGTATTCTTGCCTAGAGAATCCCACGGTCAGAGGAGCCCGGAGGGCTACAGTCCATAATGTCACAAAGAGTCAGATATTCACACATGCAATGGAAACCACATGCTGAGCACAAAGTGGCAGCAGCCCACCACTGGAGGAATTTGGGGGGGGGTGGAATAGTGAGAGGGTTTCCCTGGTGACTCAGTGGTAAAGAATCCACCTGCCAATGCAGGAGAAACTGGTTATATCCCTGATCTGGGAAGATCCCACAGGCTGTGGAGCAAAGAAGCCTGTGCACCACAATTATTGAGCCTGTGCTCCAGAGCCAAGGAAGCACAACTACTGAGCCCACATGCCACAACTGCTGAAGACCATTCACCCTAAAGAACGTGTTCCACATAAGGAAAGATACCACAATGAGAAGCCTGTGAACCACAAGAAAGAATAGCCCCTGCTGACTACAACTAGAAGAAAATCCCAGGCAGCAAAAAGACCAGCACGGCCAGAAATACGTAAATAAAAATAGCTTCAAAAAAGTAGTGAAACAAAAAGAACAGATTATCCAAAAGATATAAGGCAATACACATGTACTTGGAGTACCAGAAGGATAAAAGAGAAGTGGACAGAAAGACTATTGAAGATGTAATTTTCAAAATTACTGAAAGACAAGCAACCACATGTCCAAGAAATTCAGAGACCTAGCAGTACAAGTACCAAGAAAAACCCCACCTAGGCTCCTCACAGTCAAACTGCTGAAACCCAAAGACAAAGGGAAAATCTTCATAGTAACCAGAGGAAAAAAACATTTTTTGGAGGCACAAAGATAGAAAGCAGAACAGATTCACTGTCAGAAATAAAGCAAGCAGGAGAGAGTTCAGTCACCTCTTCAAAGAACTGAAAAAAAAAAAAAGAATCAACTCAAAATTCTAGGTCCAGTGAAAATGCCTTTCAAAAAAGAGGTTGAAAGGTAGATTTTTCCAGAGAAACAAAAGCTGAGGAGAATTAATTGTCAGCAAACTTGTAAAACAAGAAATGTTTAGAAGAAGCTCCTCAGGCAGAAGAAATCTGATACAACATAGAAAAAAAGAAAAAGAGACATAGATGTATAGAACAGACTTTTGGACTCTATGGGAGAAGGCGAGGGTGGGATGATCTGAGAGAATAGCATCGAAACATGTACATTATCAAGTGTGAAACAGATCTCCAGTCCAGGTTGGATGCATGAGACAAGTGCTCAGGGCTGGCGCACTGGGATGACCCAGAGGGATGGGATGGGGAGGGAGGTGGGAGGGGGGTTCAGGATGGGGAACACATGTAAATCCATGACTGATTCATGTCAATGTATGGCAAAAACCACTACAATATTGTAAAGTAATTAGCCTCCAACTAATAAAAATAATTGGGAAAAAAATGCACTACTAGCTATTTATCCTAAACATATACAAATAAAAATATGCCATGAAAAAGAAAAAAAAATAAAAAAGAAACAAAGTACATGGAAAAAGGGGAAAAATGTGGGTAACTATGACAGACTTTTTTCTTGATTTTAATCTCTTTAAAAGGCAATTGTCTGAAGTGAAAATGCCTGTCAAGCATGTTTCATAGAATATGTTGAAGTAAAATATGTAAGAGTAGCATGCAGGATAGGATGGAGGAAATTAATAAATAATATGGTAAGATTCTTGCACAATATAGGAAGTACTATAGTATTATTGGAAATGTACTGTCATAAGTTAGGGGCTTCCCTGGTGGCTCTGATGGTAAAGAATCTGCCTGCAATGTAGAAGACCCAGATTCAATCCCCGGGTCAGGAAGATCCTCTGGAGAAGAGAATGGCTACCCATTCCAGTATTCTTGCCTGGAGAATTCCATGGACAGAGGAGCCTGGCAGGCTATAGTCCTAAGTTAAAACTTTGTACTGAAAACAACAGAACAGCCAAACTAACTTAAAAGATGTATAACAATAAACTAGTAGGGGAGATAAAATGGAATCATAAGAAATACTCAAAAGAAGGTGATAAAAGAAAGAGAAAAGAAACAAGAAAAAATAGAACACATAGAAAAGAACTAAAATTAGATTTTAAAAATGGGCAAATTTAAATACAAATGCATCGATAATTAAATTAACAGTGTAAACACTTCAGTTAAATGCAGACTGTTGGAGAGGATGAAGAAAGCTAGAGCCAATTATACACTTTTTAAAGGAAAATTACTTAAAATATAAAGACATAGATATATAGATTTAAATGATGGGAAAACTATGTCATGCAAATACTAATCAAAAGAAAGCTCTATTAATATCACATTAATTGGATTTCTAGGGCTTCCCTGGTGGCTGACAGTAAAACAACCTGATAAAGAACCTGCCTGCCTCTGACCCAGAGAAGGTGGTCTCTGCCTTCCTGAAGGTATCCTCCATGTTAAAGGAGGAAGTCTCGGTGAGGATAGCCATGCAGGATGCAGTAGATGTTTTGATGAAGAAGGCCTTCAGCTGGTCCTCCTTCAGCTCCAATGCCTTCCTCACCCGCTCCTCATCCACATGGGTCTGCTCAAGACTGAAGACAAGAGCAAGGCCAGTGCCAAGCTGTACTGCCCCCTGATGGCGCTGAGCCACGTGGGGCAGCAGGACTACTTCCCCAAGACCCTGCCCCCCTGCTGCTGGCATTCATCACCAAGCCCAACGGCACCCTGGAATCCTGCTCCTTTGCCTGCCACAATCTACTGCAGATGTTGTACAAGGTCTAGATGCCAAGCTGGCCTCTCCCCACCCCTCACCTGGACCAGTGACTTGGGAAAGGCCTCAGCGAAGGACTCTGGCCAGCAGCAGGGAGGGTCATTGACGTGTGTACCATGTCTCTTGAGTTCGTGTGTCAGTGTGGCATACGTGCAGGCGTGTGCCTCTTGTCAGTGTTTGAGTTTTTAATGTTTCCTTGCTGGACTGGCCCTGACCCCGCTGGAGCGCAGCTGACACCCAGGTGCAAGGGCTGCAGGCTGCTCTGCCTTTAAACTCACTGCCGTCTGAGGACCGTCTACTCTGTTCGCAGGCGCCAGGCCCTGGTGGCTGTCCCCACCCACCTTGCCGCCTTGCCCTGCGGGGCCACACCAGGCCTGGGGAGTTGCTTTCCGAGTGCTGGCCCCTCCCTCTGGTGAAGCCAGGTCTGTGCTGCCCTGCCTGGGGCGGCTCACTCGCTGGCTGCTTTGCTTCCTGTCACCAGGCCTGCTCCTTTGGCCACCCCTGCCCCTACCATCCATCCCTGCTGTGTGATCCCTCAGCCTGAGCGGTCCGGACTGCTTTACCTGGGGCCACAGGGTAAGTGGCAGAGGGCAAGACTGGCATCCACACTGTGTGGACAGGAAGTGAAGCCAGGGGGCAGACACTAGGGTCTGGGGGCTGGACTTGCCTGGATGGTGCTGGTTCTGCACCCTTTGGGACCTCCTCTGGCTGCTAGGATGTCTGGGAGTGGCCTGGGAGCCACGCTGGAGGGGGCATCTGAGCAGGCCCGAACCTGTTCTCCAGCCGTGAGGGTAGGGACAGGGCCTGCTCATGCCTGAGGACTTGCGGCAGAGGCGAGGTAGGGGTTGGGCTGGGCTGGAGCACGCTATGACACCCTGTGCTTTCCCATGTGCCCTGTGTGGTGTCTGGGCTGTGCCCAGGGCTTCACAAATAAAGTGTGAAGCCTGTGAACACTGAAAAAAAACAAAAACAAGAAACTGCCTGCCAATGCCAATGAAGGAGACATGGGTTGGATCCCTGTGCCTGGAAGACCTCTGGAGAAGAAAATGGCAACCCACTCCAGTATTCTTGTCTGGGAAATCCCAAGGACAGAGGAGCCTAGCAGGCACAGTGAATGGGGTCGCAAAAGAGTTGGACATGACTTAGTGACTAGAAAACAACTGAATTTCTGAACAAGCAGTATTACTATTAATTAGAAGGGTCATTCCATAATGATGAAAGGGCTAATTCATCAAGAGGACATAACAATCTTAAATGTGTATGCACTTAATTGTAGAGTTCAAATATACAGTAATATAAATGATATACCATAATAGTTTTGTTGCTGAGTTTGTTTTGTATCAGGAACAAAGGCTGCATTGAAGTTAATTCTCCCTCAGTGCCCACCACCACCACCTTCCTGCTTCACCAGCTTCAGTGATAATCGTCTGGATGTGGCATCATAAGTTCTACAACAAAAGACTAAAATATTTCTATCTCCCAATAAAATAAAAAGCTTTATAGCAACATATGTCCTAAGACATCTTTAACTAAAGAAATTTCACATGCAAATGAATAAAAGGAAATAGGAAGAAACTAGTAGTGACACAGAGAAGTTGAAAGGGGAAAAAGACTTCAAAAAATATGAAGTTAGATTCCCTGTCATGTCATTACTTGTGCTCTGAATTAAGCATCTTTACTTATTAATTAGGCTTAAGCTTTCATCAAGACACTTCAAAGTGAAGAGATTAGCATAATTAAGCAAGCATGGTTTCACAACATCACTTTAACCAGTGGCTGTATATTCTGTGAAGTCTCGGTATTTTAACTTCACACCTTGTTCATTCCATTATTTCATTTTTGACAGGTAGCAGCTGAATAAAGTCAAGAACTATTCATCTGAATTTAGTCAACAAGGAAAGGCATTTAAAATGTAGGAAGGAGGAATAACAGGTAAACAACAATTTCCATCAGAAGAAAATGTTATTATTTATTAACTACATATGATTTAGTTACAGATTATTCTTTCTGTCTCTTACAAATCTCACTGCCCAAGCTCATCAAATTTCTCTCACACCAGTATAATGCTGTTAATAATTATCTGAAATACATTTGGTCTCTCATAGCATCACAGGCATGAAATAAAACCTTAACATTCCTGTAAAGGAGATTAAATAATATGAAGAAAATTTATACAGTGTTTTCACTTCATGGAAAAAGAAAAAAAGCATGAGGTTTATGAGAATAAAGTAGTGAAATGACACAAGAGTTTCACTAATGCAAAGGACTGATTGTTTGTGTCCCCCCAAAATGCGTATGTTGATGCCTAGATCTCCAGTGTGAGGGTATTTGGAGGCAGGACACTTAGTAGGTAATTAGGTCATAAGGGTGTATCATTTATGAATGGTATTAGTGCCCTTACAAGAGGCTGAAGAGTTTTCCCCTTCCACCATGTGAGGACACAGCAAAAATCAACCCAAAAAAAGGCCCAGTCAGGGAGGGGGCCTTCACCAGACATCAAATCCGCTGACACCTTGATCTTGGACTTTCAGACTCCAGAACTCTGAGAAATAAATTTTTACTCTTTATAAGCCACTAAGTCCATGGTATCCTTTTATAGTAGCTTGAATGGACCAAGATAGTTACTCCTTCCAACAGTGCCAGCTGAAATATTTATATGTCTCCCTATATATCCTAATTTTATAGTTTTACAATTGCACTTTAGTGCCAAATGTGTAACTGTTCTCCAAATCCAAACCTGTCTCAGTAACCTGATTTACATGCTTTTGTGCAATTAAAATATGTAATTACAATGTGTAGTTAAATTAAAGATTTTTAAGACTCACTGAGTAGTTTAACCAATGTTTCATCTACAAAAGTTAGAAAATGAGCCAATTTTAAGCAAAAATCATGGTCATCAGCCAGCTAAGTTCTATGAGGGCAGGATTATATTTCATTGACTCTGATATCCGCCCAACAGCTGGAAGGATGCCTGATATGTAACAGACACTCAATACATATTGTTACATTAATGTAAGAATATGAGAGATCTGCAGCAGAGGTTTCTGAAGAGAGAAAATAAATCCATATGAGTTCCTTAAACCAAGAACTGTCTCAATGCTTATGGTGGTCACTGTCATTGAAATATGAAACATGGACTCACATGTGTATCAGGAAAAAGGAAAATACAGATAAGACTTCATATACATATCCCTGAGCCTACTAATGTTAAAAGTTGTGTGCATTAATTTGACATATTGGTATGATGGGGAAAGAGTATTTAAGTACAAGGCATTTCTCAATTCACAAACAGCAGTTCAGGAGAAAGACAACAGTAAATGAATTTCTTCTGATCTGGAGCCATGCGTACCCACAGTCCAGGATTTCTAATACAATAAGTTCTGCTTTTAAGCCAATCACAGCAAAGAAAATAAAATTAGGCAACTAAATAAATGAAATGAGAAGGAAAGGATTTTGCCCATGCTTAGTGACATCTGTAACCCATATCTTATTTACCAGAGAAAGTATTTAGCCAGATTTGTGTCAGCCTCAGAGTAATGAGCATAGCATAATTTCACTCTAGGGTTTTGCTTGCAAAGAGCTCTCACAAAGGAACTAAAGAAGAACAGGAACAAACAAACCTCATACAAATTCAGCCCTTCATTCCCAAATTGTGTAATATCAGAATCTCAGAGCCACTATTTCTCAATGTATTCATGCTTTGCTAAGAACTGAATTGTGTTTCCATAAAATGTATATGTTGAAGGTCTAACACTCAGTGTAATGGTATTTGAGATGTAGACAGATTTATTAACAGATTAGATCATGAGCTTGAGGTCCTCATGACAGGATTAGTGCCCTTATAAAAAGAAACACCAGAAAGCTTGCCTTCCCTCTCTCTGCCCCGTGAAGACACAGTAAGAAGATGACCCTCTGTAAGCTAGGAATAGACATCTTGCCAGGGAGTTGAATCAGCCAGCATCTTGATCCTGGACCTTTCAGCCTCCAGAATTATGAGAAATGCATTCCTATCATTTAGGACACCCAGTCTATGATATTCTATTATAGCAGCCCAAAGTGGTGAAGACATGCTTAAGAAAACAACAGGAATGGAAATAAAAATAATGCTGTGGTCCCATTGCACAGTGCCTGGGTTAGGAGTTTAAAAACACAGTGTCACATTTAGTCCTCACAATCCTTCCTGAGGAAGGTCATATTTCCCTCGCCATTTTACATGTGAGGAAACTGAATCTCAGATAGATGAAACAAATTGCCTAGGAAGCATTGGAATCATGATTTAAACCAAGGCCCTCTTCCTGCCAGCTCAGAACTGTTAAGTCCTGGACATATCACTTGTTCAGACTTCCTATTAACCTCAGCTAATCCACCACCTGATACAAAAGAACAAATAAAGATTCTAAAAATTACTTTAATCCTTTGCAACATACCCCAAATTTTGACAGCTTTCCTTTCAAAAGAGGGCAGTTTGCCTCTTTGTTCACAAACATGACAACCTATAAACCTCAGGTTTCTACAGTGCTGTGTATTGCAGTCCAGTTGACTCACTCTGCAGAATTACTGATGCTTGGGGTTAAACATGAAAATGGCAGTGAAAGTCTACCACCTGATTCCTCACCTATGCCAGCCTCGTTGGGGCTCTTTAGAGTCCAAACGGCCTATACGCGGCCTGATGGTAATAGTGCAGGTTCTGGGCACAAATCCAAGCTACTGTTGGCTCATCCTGGAACTTCAGGGAGTGATTTGAGCTCTCAAACCCTTAGTCACTTCACATGAAAGTGGAGACTATAACACTATCCCAAGCAGCATTGTAATGATTACATGAGAAAATACACCCCTAGCCCTTGGGGGACTGTATACCACATAATTGTTCCCATCCCTGTCTCCTCCCTGTTTCTCCCTTCTTCCCTTTTTCCCTATCTTATGCTCATCCTCATCACCCCCTCCTCTAGGACCTCTTTCATCTGTCCTCCCCAGAGGGTTGCTTTGCTATGACTATAGGAATTTCCTGTCCTTTAAACAAAAATAAATATAAAACCTGCCATTGGTCCAACTGTAGCATCCTTCTCCTCATGTCTTCATTGCGACCTTACTGAAAGTATTCTACACTCAGTTCCCACACCACATTACCACCCATTCATTTGTTTATCTACTTTGAATATTTGGCATCTACATTTGCCAGGAACTGTGCCAGGCACTAGGGTAAAACTGTGAGCAAAGTCTGAGCTGGTCCTGCCCTGATCTCTTGGCCTCACCATCTCCTTGTGGTCTGACTTCTGTCTCTCTTACTGCTGAGATCCCCCCACTGACAGTCACCAATACTCTCCTAACTCTTCATTCCTCTCCTCCATCACCCTTCTGAACAAGTGAACAAATCCCTTTTCTCTCTTATTCAGGGATCTCACATCTCCCTGTGACTACATTCTCCCTCCTCCTCTAACACCTACCCCTCCAAATTCCTCCTCCAATCCTTCCATCTCAATAAAGAGCTTCTCCATCCACCCAGCTATTCTGTTTGAACTAGAAACCCAGGAATTCTTGGTTTTTCCCTTTCCCCATCTGGCCCACTAGCAGGTCCTGTTGACTCTAACCAAAACATACACACCCATCTGTACACACCCACTTTCTTCTCATTAAACCATGTAACTGTTTCCTACTTGATCCCCTGCTTCATCCCAGTATATAGCCCACCCCGACCCCCACCAATTTGTCACATGGCAGTCAGAGTGATCTTTAAAGCTAATCCAGTAATGACACATGCACAATCTTAAACACTTTAAAAAATATAAACTCCAGTCTTATTCCACTCAGAATA